CTCGCCTGGGCTGCCGCAGCGGGTCGGGCCAAGGTCTGGCCGGGCGGGCCAGCTCCACCGAAAGAAGGGGCGCTTTGCTGTCCGGTGGGGCCGGAGGCTTCGGGCCTTGCAGGCGTTCCAGAGGTCGGGGCTGCGGGTGGGGAGCTGGGTCCTTGGCTTGAGCGGCCTGCGACGGCCAGAGGTGGGGCGTCCCGCCGCTGCCTCCTCCTCCTCCTCCTCCTCCTCCTCCTCCTGCCCCCGCCCCGGCTACAGCTCCGAGCAGCGCCCCTGTTTGTTGTAATGGTCGAACTGGCTCTTCCAGTGCATCATGTAGGCGCTCCAGAGGTGGAACTCCAGCTTCCACTGGCGCTCGGCCTCCTCGATGTTGTCTGGGGTGGTGGCAGGCAGAGGGCAGGAAGGAGAGAGGCGGGCAAAGAGGAGGAAGGGAAGGGGCAGCGGGGAGACGGAGAGGAGGTCGGGGGGGGGGAGAGAGAGAGAGAAAGAAGAGCGTTAAGCGAGGACGGCTCCGCAGCTAAAGGCTTCTGCCCTTAAGCCCCGAGGCACGTGAGGGGGTCCGGGCGGGTGTGGGTGGGTCGGGGTGGGGGCAGAGCTGGCCTGCACTTTGGCTCCAAGCCCCCTTCTCACCACCCCCGCCCCAGCTGCAAGTGGCCGGAGCTGAAAGACAGCCGGTCCAGGAGGCACCTCTTCCGTCCTGGCACAGGGGCCCCGGGCGGACCCCCTGCTGAGCTTGGCGGACTTTGTTCCGGGTGGCCTGTGTGGGGCTGGCTTTGACGAAGGGCCCCGCGGGAAGGCCAGGCCAGGCCAGGAAAGGGGTGGGGTGGATGGACAGATGGACACAGATGGATGGACGGACAGACAGTGGAGCTGTTTCGCAAAGCTCCTGTGAGGCCCAGTGTTTGGTGGTGGTGGGTTTCTGGAGAGCTGGGTAGCGTAGGTGAGGGGTGATGGTGACAAAGACAGTAGGTTCAGGTGTGCATCTCCATTTTGCCCTTCCCACCCATCCCCAAGCCATGGGGAAGACACCCCCCCCCCCCCCCCACCTATACACAGG